GATCTCGTTTTACTTCTAGATTTTGGAAGCAATTTCATGACGAGATGGGAACTCATCTCCATTTCAATACAAATTTTCATCTACAGACGGATGTGAAGAGTGAGCGGAAGATTCAAAATCTAGATGATATGCTGCATGCATGCATATTGGATTTTGGTGAGAGTTAGGATACGCATCTTCCATTAGTGGATTTTTCGTATAACAACAATTATCATGTTACCATTGATCGACCTCCTTTCGAGATGCTCTGTGGGAGGAAATGCATAACATCGATTTGTTGAGGTGAGTTCGGTCAGCCAGTCATGGGGAGTACCAAGGTGGTACTCAAGACTAATAAGGTTATTCAGCAGGCTCCAGATAGCTCAGAGTTGGTAGAAAAGCTATATCAACAAGTGCTAGTCAGACTTGGAGTTCCGGGTGGGAGATATGGTTCTCTTGAGGAGTCACTGTGGAAATGTGTCATCCTGTTCAAGAAGCGGGGCAAGTTGGGCCCTAGGTATATTGGTCCCTTCAGGGTTTTGGCTCGAATGGGCCGGGTTGTGTATTGTATAGATCTTTTAGCCAAGCTCAGCAAGATTCATAACATATTTCATGTCACTCAGTTGCGGAAGTGCTTGGTGGATGATTTCGTAGTTGTTCCCTTGGAGGACATTTAGGTGCATGACCTCCTAAATTCTATTGAGAGATCGATAGGAATATTAGATCGAAAGACGAAAACCTTGAGAACAAGTTTGTGGAGCTAGTAAATGTGCAGTGGCTGCACTGCAAGGGGTCAGAGTGTATTTGGGAACCCGAGGAGCAAATAAGGGAGCATTACCCAAGATTGTTCGAGGCAACGGACTTCGAGGGCGAAGTATGATTCAAGTGTGGGAGAATTGTAATGCCTGATTTGATGTATGAACTTATTGTCTAATTGTTTATATTTTTTTCTAGAAAGACTTTGCAATTTGAAAGCCTCAACTAAACGTGTCGATTTTTTTTGGCCGTGAAGTTTAATGAGTTAATTCAGTGAGTCGAGGTGTCTCAACTCGGCAAGTTGCACAGCTTGGAAGGAAACCCAATTTTAGGGTGTTTCACCCTATTTAAAGGCCTTAAGTCCCTTAGATAGCTTCCTTACCAGCCAACTCTGTCTAGAAACCATAAAATCGAGCATTTCCTTCCATTGTTGAGTGGGTGAGCTTGGAGAGAGCCTTGATTGCTCTTTTTTGTGCTTGTTCAAGGAGATAAGGAATTGGGAGTTGCTTAGCTTGAAGAAGGAGTCTTACATCCAAAATTGCTAGCTGATTTTCCAAAATTTTGAGGTATTAAGTTCTCACCTTGCTTAATAATTGCTTAGATATCTTCTTGGGTTAGATTGTATGCTTTTAGCCATGGTTGGGTGGTTGTTGGCGAGGTAGGATGTTGATGTGCACAAAATATACCTATCAAATTTTAAATTTATAACCTAACAAACTTATACTAACTATGCACCTATAGGCAGTATACCTAGTCAGATTATAGTATAGTTTGGGTAAGTCGGGTGTCGATCACAGGGAATGTATTTAATTAAGAAAATAATTACTAAAAGATAAACTAAAAAAACTACTAAATGTGGGGGTTTTCTCTGATTTTACAAGTTCATAAAAACATAAACACTCAACTAAAAATGATTATAATCAATATACTAAAACACTTTTGTTTAGTTTTGAGTCCACCTTTTCCTATGGTTAGTTCTTATTTATTGATTACTTAAGTTCGTTACCAATTTATATGTAATTAGTGATACTGGTCAAATCTACTAATGTTTTCACCAATTCATGAACTACTTTGTATGGTACACACAAGCAAAACAAAAAAAATAGTTATTAATTATAAATTGGCTATATCAGATTTATCAAAGCAACACAACTATGGCCACAATTATGTTCTCCAACACTGCTAAATTTGTTGCTTTTATTACTTATCTAAGATTTGGTCGATCCTAGCTCTAGCAATTTAATGGTCCCTAAATCACTAGCTAATCAAGTTCATGTAATTTAATGATCACTAACCTACACTACACTTGAAGTTAAGCAACAAAATTACAAACTTTAACATGCCAGGTAATGATAATCAAACACATGCATAAACCAAATTCATATAATCCATAAAGTAAGAAACTAACTCATAGTTTTAGGTTTCATATAACTAAACGAAAGCAAACGTTTTTAGCCCATAATTAGAGTTGGAAAACACATAAAAAAAAGGAAAAATAGACTAATCATGATTAAACTAGGCAAACCGAATGTGTAGATTTGAATCCGTGCTCCAATATCTTTATCCTTTGATCTCTAGTTGAATTCTACCCTCAAAGGGGTCTTGGAAGGGTATTTTTTCGTTAATAATCGCAGCCTTCAGCCCTCTCTCCTCTGGAATTGACCTAATGTCCGAGATATATATAGCTACGAAAAATGACGACACCACGTCATGGTAATGGCACCACGTCGTGGTCCACAAGCTTATCCCGTATTCTCCAAGCCAGCGGCAAGAATCGCAAATATTCCATTCACCACGTCGTGGTGGATGGAAATATGACTTTTCTCAAAACACGGAAGTCGTCTGAAATTGTGTCTAGTTTTCAGATCATTTTAAATCACCTTAATCGGAGTTACAAGTCAGGAGATATGGTCAAAATAATGACGACGGGTCAACCTATCCAACAACATCCTTTATATATCTTCTTCTTGATTAATTTTCCTACTTCCAGCTTCGATATTGCTTCCGAGCATGTCCTTTACTCTACATAACATATATTACACATAATAAATAGCTTTTTTTTTATAATAATAATAATTATAGCTAAAAGTATAAAGATATGATGTAAAATATATATGTAGATATGCACATATCAAAATACCCCACATTTATCTTTTGCTTGCCCTCAATCAAAACTAATTAATTTTAATTCAAACCTTCATCACCACCATCACATAGAACAATCCATTTTAAACTCAACCATTATACCAACACCTCAATGCGCAGATTTGTGTCTAAGTCTCCTAATAACTCCCCAATCCTAAATACTCACAATCCTTATGAACCTTCACCCCTTAGTTTATACGACACTCATTTTTGCAAACCTCCGAATCAATCCTCAGGAATCTTTCTTAACCTCAAGGTATTTTTGGTTAAGCTACCCAAGCATACATAATCTAGAAAAATTACAACATTTGATACCAACATGGAGCTCTTTGGAATTCTTCATTTCTTTGATATTTGATCTTTTATTTCTTTGAATTCACCACCTTTTTGTTTGATTTTTGGTATCTTCAATTTTTGAATCTTTAGAATTTTTGATCTTTTGATCTTCGTACTTTGACAGCTCCTTATTTCTTCAACTTTTTGGTAATTTCTCTCTCTTTTTTTATAGTATCTCACTTTTTTCACTAAAATCCTACATGCTTAAGCAAAGGAGCTTAACTTCAACCTTTATTGGTTACACGTATTAGTCTAAGTGCAGTGACTACATAAGCTCTCCTGTATTGATTTCAGATACAGGTTGCAAAACATATTATGTCATATAAACTACTAGATTACCTTTTCATATCTCATGACTTTTCACTAGGAATGGGAAGCCACAAATATACTATAACATATGTTGGCTCAGTTAAACATTCGAGCTTTCATCAGATCATCCCACACAACACTAGCAACTTAAGTTTAAATGAATACTAGATTTGATTTTTAGATTATTATTTCAAATCTATTATAAATTTTTTAAATTTTCTAGCAATTTACTTTCTCGACCCCTACCCCACACTTATTACATAATATGCCCTCATTGTATGTATAAAATTATTTAAAAGCAGTAAAAGGGAGAAAAAGGAACATAATCCCCTGGGATTGAAGATGCATCTCGAGTCGAATGTAAGATTTCTAGCTTGCTCTAAAGTGGGGAAACAAAATTGGAAAGTAGAATGGCAGCCTCCTGATGTGATGCAAAACTCCCCCACGACATAGGAAAGTGTCAACCATGTCATGGTAGCCGGGACATTAGTTCAGCATGGCATAACAATAAAATTTGATGGTGTGGGAACGTCTCATCCATACCATGGAATTCAATATAGAATTGGAAACGCTACTCTTGAACACTTAGACTACTGATTGTACGGGATCAGACTCGAAAAACAGACTTGAAAAGCACCACCTCTTGGCGGAATTCACCACCTCATGGTGGATCAAAAAAATTATTTTTCTGGTATTCTCACTGCGACAACACGACGTGGTGGGGATTACCACGACGTGTTGGTCTTGAAATTTCTATAATCGGTGCCATAATGAGCTGATTTCTGGAATATATATGGCACCAGCGAATATACGAAGTTGTTAGGAATGAATCCCCACTTATTGATGGAAACAAACACCCGAAAAATTGCTCAAATCTCGCTTCTCTCGTCGTTTTCTAATCTTTCTCTATAAAGAACCTTCTTTTGTCAATAATAGCCTCACTCGAACTCTAAATATAATATCTGGAAAGCTTCTTCTTGTGAATGCAAATGTGTCAGATCGAATGAAATTAAAGAACTATTCTTGAAAAAAAATGTGATGAACCAATGCCACGACATGTTGATGATGTCCATGTTTTGTTGTCTTCTTTTTAGTAAATATGCTTCAAAATGGTTTTCTCTTCATTATGTGGGAACCCAAAACTTATTCAAAAATTTGTTCTTCAATTACGATCTTCAAAAATAGCACGACTTCTTCAAATTAAGCTCCTTCACTGCTTTACTTTCGTTCAACACTACAAAGTAAGATCAAGAACTAGAGAAACACATCATCATTTAGTTAAGGTAAAATAAAAATAATAAAAAAATAAAATTACAACTAAATCAAAAAGAAAAGAAAATGCAAACTCTAAAAACATAGGGTTACCTCCCGAGTAACGCTTTTTTTTGAAGTGTCGTGAGTCGGACTCCTTCCCACTCTATGCTATGTCAGGTGGAAGTGTAACCTCCCCGTTCTCCATCATTTTGGAACCTTGTTCATTTGTAAGCAACCCTTCTAATGAATGCCTTTCTTGAACTTTCTTTCATTGTTGGGTTGACATATTCTTTATATTTCCTCTTGGATTCTTTCCTCATTCTCGTGTCTTTAGCTTTTGTCTTGTCTCTTTCCGGGTTTTTCTTCTCACAATGAGGCTCATCATATTCCTCTTCTTTTTCTTCAACTCTCTTTGTGACTTGATCTGGTGTCTTTGTAAAAGCAAACACCTCAAAAATCATTGGTGTTGACATTGGAGGTTTCAAATGCTTTTCTTCTTTTTCCAATTGCTCTTTTGGTAAAGGCTCATTCCATTCCTCTCCTTCTTCTTCCTTCACACATTCAAATTCATCATGCTTAAGGAACTTCTTGTTTTCTTGTTTCACTAGATTTTCATTGGCACGAGATGGGAAAGGGAGAGGTGATTGATACGGCTCAACAACCGAGGAATCATAATTTTCTTTTATCGCCTATAATGTGGCACTATTGCCTCCATGTCGTGGCGACAGGGAAGCTTCATGATACTCTTCTTCTTCTCCACTTTTTACTTCAAGGGACTGATTAAATTCCTCTTCAAGGTCCTTCATATGAACCAATTCATCGTCTTCTTTTGTATCAACGGTCATGAATTGAGCCATAGGGATTAACTCGACTTTTCTTGAAGGTAGACCCGATAGATTTTCTTGTAAGAATTTTGTTAATTGCCCAACTTGTGTATGGATGCTCAAAATAGATGCTTGTTGAACTTTAAGTGTTGCATCAGTTGCATCATGTCTTCTTTTGCTAGCTTCCATGAATCTGAATAGCATTGTCTCAAGAGCATCTGTCTTTATGGATTGGACTTGCTCAATTTTATAGAAATCATGATTAAGTTCTTGAATTTCTTGCACATCTCGTTCTCTCTTGTACTCGCATCATAATCCTTTGTAGAATGAGGCCCTCCACAATCTATGCATCTATCATGTGCCATATTAATGGATCCATCCACCTTTGTGAGCCTATTTTCCATGGACTCGAGCTTTGCCATTACCGTTGTTAGGAATTCATAAGCTCCATCTCCATTCACTCTTCTTGTCGTGATATCCTCCCCCCTTGGGTTGTGATACTCCCTTGAATGCTTGGCGAAGTCTTCAATTAAAGATTTATTTGTTTTTGGATCCTTCTTTGTCATGGGCCCTTGAGAGTCTATTAGTTAGCGAGTACACACATTAACTCCATCATAAAATATCGAGATTTCTTTTGCACATTGAATTCATGTTGAGGTCAATGTCGTAACAATCTCTTGTAACGCTCCTAAGCTTCATATAGTGACTCCCCTTCTAATTGTTGAAATTTTTGTATATTTCTTTTAAGCTTCGCCACTTTTGAAGGAGGAGTAAACTGGTTTATGAACTCCGTCTTAAAATCGGCCCATGTCGTGATTGCTCCAAAGGGAAGTGATTCTAACCATTTTTTTTCTTCACCCTTCAAAGTAACCGGTAAAATTCGAAGCATCACCGCATCTTTACTCACGTTTGGTGCATTAAAATAATGTGAAATCTCCACACCTCTTCTATGTGATTGTGGGCGTCCTCATGCTCATTCCCAAAAAAAAAGGTAGATCTTTTAGCATGCCAAGAATATGTCCCGGAATTTAAAACTTTGTCGTGGTTGGGATTTTTGGTGGATCAAGACCCCATCTATTCTTGTTCCTCATATGTCACTTGTACTCTTCCATTGTCATGGTCGTGATGTCCCCTATATTTCCTGCTAAAAAAGACTAAAAAAGACCGTGTAATATGAACAAAAAAATCGCTAAACTAAAAATTGATTGTAACGTAATCACGACATGGACAAGATGCCCACGATGTGGTAACAAATCAAATAGAAAAAGGAAAACAATAAATGCAGAAAAATAACTTTTTGTGGTTTTTACCCCACAAAAAGGATCGATTAACCTAAACCAATTAAATTAACAACTAAAATAGATGTTCCCCGACAATGGCACAAAAAACTTGGTGTGCACAAAATATACCTATAAACTTTTAAATTTATAACCTAACAAACTTATACTAACTATGCACCTATAGGCAATTTATCTAGTCAGATTATAGTATAGCTTGGGTAAGTCGGGTGCTGATCACAGGGAATGGTATTTAATTAATAAAATAATTACTAAAAGCTAAACTAAAAAACAGCTAAATATGGCGGTTTTATCTGATTTTACAAGTTTCGAAAAACTTAAACACTGAACTAAAAATGATTATAATCAATACACTAAAACACTTTCATTTAGTTTTGAATCCACCTTTTCCTATGGTTAGTTCTTATTTATAGATTACTTAAGTTGGTTACAACTTTATATGTAATTAGCGATATTGATCAAATCTACTAATCTTTTCACCAATTTTTGAACTACTTTATGTGGTCATACACAAGAAAAGCACAAAAGTAGTTATTCATTATAGATGGGCTATGTGGGATTTATCGAAGAAACACAATTATGGTCACAATTATGTTTTCCAACACTGCTAAATTTGTTGTTTTTATTACTTATCTAAGATTTGGTCGATCCTAGCTCTAGCAATTTAATGGTCACTAAATCACTAGCTAATCAAGTTCATGTAATTTAATGGTCACTAACCAACACTACACTTGAAATTAAGCAACAAAGTTACAAACTTTAACGTGCTAGGTAATGATAATCAAACACATGTATAAATCAAATTCATATAATCCATAAAGTAAGAAACTAACTCACAGTCTTAGGGTGCATCTAACTAAACGAAAGCAAACGTTTTTAACCCATAATTACAGATGGAAAACACATAAACATAAGGGAAAATAAACTAATCATGATTAAACGAGGCAAACCGAATGTCTAGATATGAATCCTTGCTCCAATCTCTTTATCCTTTGATCTTTAGTTGAATTCTGCCCTCAAAGGGGTATTGGAAGGGTTTTTTTCGTTAATAGTCGCATCCTTAAGCCCTCTCTCCTCTGGAATCGACCTAATGTACAAGATATATAGTTACCAAAAATCTCGACACCATGTCATGGTAATGGCACCATGTCATGGTCCTCAAGCTTATCCCGTATTCTCCAAGCCAACGGAAAGAATCGTGAAGATTCCATTCACCACGTACTGGTGGTTGGAAATATGACTTTTCTCAAAACACGGAAGTCGTCTGAAATTGCGTCTAATTTTTAGATCATTTTGAATCACCTTAATCGGAGTTACGAGTCAGGAGACATGATTAAAATACTGATGAGGGGTCAAGCTATCCAACACCATCCTTTATGTATCTTCTTCTTGATTAAGCTCACATTTTCCTACTTCTAGCTTCTATATTGCTTCCGAGCATATCCTTTACTCTATATAACAGATACTAAACATAATAAGTACCTTTTGTTCTATAATAAGAATTGTTAGAACAAAGTTCTTTCAGGATCGTATGAGTCTAAGCAAAATATTAATAAGAACGTAAATAAGAACACAAGTATTGCGATGAAGATGTCGAATGATTAATGCAAAATACCCCAGAAGAGCTCGATTAAGAACTTCAATCTATAGAGGTAAAATTAGGGTTACAAGAAACAACGTGAATGACTAATAACTTATCTAGATAAAGGAAACTATTCTAGATAACTACGGATGGATAAGCCCAATCCGTTTACAAAACAAATAATCCAAGACGCAACACTTAAAATATTCAACAATCTCCCCCTTTGCATCTTTGGAGCAGAATCTCTATTCTATTTTCACACCAGTGGTCTTCTTCACCGTTTCAAATATCCTCGGTATAATGGCCAGAACATGTTGTCTAAATGTTATATACCACCGAAGCATATCTGTAAAATTTTTCTTATCTCATGTTGAGTTCTGCTTGCATCGATGAATGATGTCGATAATATGCTCCAAACAATCTGTTGAAAACAGATGCTTGTCTACCAATGCAAACAAAAACTTGAGCCTGTCACCCTTAGTGAACATGACAGTCAAGTTAGTTGAATCAATCTACCCCAACTTCATTTTATTTACATCACCGGGCTTAGATGTTGGCTTGACTGTCGGCTTTTTATTCATCACCCTTGTTATCTCCTGATCCATTGTGGAAAGCTCATGGATATAGGAGGCCAACATCCTTTTAAGATGTTTCAAAATCGGCTCATACTCTCGTTGATTTGAGAGCAGAATGTTGTATAGCAAGATCCAATCATGAGGATTAAGATTGGGAAGATCTGCCAGATATATGAAATATTCCGTGTTTGGAGTACCACGGTTAATCTTGAAATGAACATTCATAAATCTCCCAGCAAGTGATGAGTTCAGTACCTTGACTCTTGTAATCTTCTGTGCACTCCAAGTCAAGTATTGCGGTTGACCGTTCTTCAAGTAAAAATCAACTAACTCCCTGTCAACCTTTTAAGTTTGGAAAAGGGACCTCAGCAGTGACCTCAAAGCAATGATAAGTGAATGCTCTTTTGGTGATTGGCATGTCAAACTACGAGTCCTTTGAGTTTTCACATTCAAAAGAAGCAATCGGTTCCAACCTATACATGGAAGGAAACTCAATCGCTTGAGTGATAAGAGTATCTCTGTCCTACTCAGGAAACAGAGTCTTCTTGCACTGTAAAATATCCTCTGCCTCTTTAGTCTTTTTCTCCTTCTCTTCAGCCTCTCTTTCCACCTTCATAGGCTCATCAAGCTCTCTGTCTCGTTTCTTTCGCTTGAGAGCTTCGACAATCATCTCTTCATGATCAGAGTCACTGTCGTCTATGATTTGCTTTCCAGAAACCGAAGCTACATTAACCTTCGGTTCTATTTTGACTTTGCTCTCCTCTCCCCCTTGTTTCGGAAGAAAGACTTTCTTCGAGACACCCTTCATTTCACTAAGTAGAGAAATGGCAGGAAGAAGTTTAGTTTGGAGATGCTTCCGAATAGTTAAAGTCAGAATTGGATCATGGGCTTTGAGAAGAGCAGTCAACATATTCTTCACATCACCAACACAACTTTGGAAAACTGCCCTTTGAGTTTTGAGCAGTGAGATCTCCTTTTCATTCTGGGCCAGTTGTACTTTCTGTAAATCAATGGTTGCCTGGTGTTTTATCAAGTCCTCCTTCAAGGTGCTTTCTAAAGTTAAAGTAGCAAAACGAGAATCCAAGGATTAAAGAAAAGAGTCAGCACGAAGGGCATCAAACTTAGTAGTCTCTTATTGAAGAGTTTGAGAGAAGGAGTTAACAGAAGCTTGGTACTTTGCTGCATTAGTATCAGCATGAGCTTTGAGTGAGTCAAGGAAAATCTAAGTTGTATGAACAACCTCAGTAACCTTCTCTATGGCCTCGGAGCATGAAGCTGTGGACTTATTTACTGCAGCAGTGGATTGGTCAATAGCTTTAGTATATTGCTAAACACCAGTTTCCACAAAAGCTTTCATGACAACCCCACTATAAGCTTTGCTGTCTGCAAGTAGGCGGTCAAGCTTGTCATTGATGTCTTGAAGCTGTTGATTGTTGGCAGAAGCATCAGCATCTGTATCAATTGGACTTCAGTAAGCACTAAAGTATAATGAATCATATTCTTCTTCATCACCTCCCAAAGTAGCACCAGAATTAGAAGATGGGGTGGGAGATGGTGGTTTAGAAACAGGTGGATCAACCACAGAAGTAGCCCCTGTATCAGATACATTGACTTCAACTAGGATTTGGGGAATGGTAGTAGTGATGGATTCTGTTGCAAGAGAAGTTGTGATAGGTGTAGTGGAGACTGGAACAGAGGTGTAGGTAGTTGAAGTTGGTATAGAAGAAGTTTCAACCAGAAGGGTTGGTATATCTGTGGGAACAGAAAGTGGAGCTTTCTGTTGTGGTGATTGGGTTGGGGTGGAAAGTTTTGTGGGTTGAGGAGATGGAACATGAGTATCTTTAGGAGATGATGGTGGGGTTGGAGATCTCGGTGGTGTAGGGTCTCTGGTGAACACTTGAGGAGTCTCAGTTTCTGCTTCTTGATCTTCAACGGTGTCAGCTTCAGGAGACAAATTCCTCTTAGGCCTTTTAGCCATCTTTTTAATCTTCTTCTGTTTTGTTTGAGAAGAAGCTTCCTCACCAGCCTTTCGCTTAGAAACTTTCTCCTTTTTCTCCTTTGTCTCCTTCACCTCTTCTTTCTCTGTTTTAACCACCTGCTTGCCTCTGGGT